GCAAGTAGGGTAAAGTGTCTTGCCCAAGGACACAACGACCAGGACAGAGAGCCCAGGGATCGAACCGGCAACCTTCCGGTTACAGATGCGATTCCCAACCACCTGAGCCACGGTCGCCGTGTAGCGATTAAGCTACACTTCCCAAAATGTTCCCTGGAGAAGGAAAACTCGCTGTGAATCAATAAGAAAAGAGGTTTCTTAGACCTGATGAAACATCTCCATCCTGATTCCTGAAGAGATTATTCTGTTTTAGGGCAATAAACTCCATCCAGTGTATATGATAGTGATGGGAAATTATATGCTGTGGCTTTATTGAGGGACTTGCATGCAGAAGTAGTGCTGTCCAGGATTTGATACAATATCTTAATGCATTCCTCTGGTAATACTTCTTGTGGACAAGGATACATGCATGTGAGTGGATGCAGGGGACACGTTGTCACTCTTCCAATGAAAAGCAAAAAAAAAAAAAAAGTCAGCTAGATGCAGCATGCATGAAGGCAGCTAGCTGCTAGAAATCCATGTAAACAATCCTGGATCAAAAACAATGTGCTCTCCAGTGTTGGTGAAGCCTTACACATGACATTTGTTAGCATGTACACACTGAGCTTTGGTGTGTAACAGAATGTAAGCAGAAAAAAACCCAGAATATATTTGGAGTTCTGTAATACTCTGTAAGACCAAACGAGTGCACAGTGGATCAGCTGCTGTGTACACAGCCTGCCTCGCACGCTGAAGACACTGTTCAAAGTGAAAAACAACAGAAAAACAAGAGAGACTTTGTTCCAGTGAGATCAGCTGTCACGTCTATGAGTTCTCATGCCACACTTGAATTTGACCTCTTTGTGCAGGTGGCATGGTGCTCTGCTGGTTTGCACCGTCGCCTCACAGCAAGAAGATCCTGGGTTTGAATCCATGAGCCAGCTGGAGCCTTTCCGTCTCCCTGCACCTGGGTGGCCTCTATACAGATACAAACACATGTATCAGTTGGTGATTCAAAGCTGTGTGAATGTGGGTGTGACTGGCTGTCTTTCACTCTGTGTTAGCCCTGTGATAGGTAAGAGGGACAGTGTACCCTCTCCCCCACCCTGTAAAGTGTCCACACTGCATTCTTAAGACAATATCTACCCACAGACATGCAAGCGTCCACCATAACCAGCTCTGAGGCAAGTCATGTGGCAGTGGGTGTGTACAGGAGTGTGTTTCAGTGAAATACGCACACATTCTTTCACAGGAAACACATAACAGTAAGGCTGTGATGTCATGGGTGGTCATTAACTGAATCAATCTGGTACCTGATAATATCCTAGCAGGGTAAAACCTTCACCTTCAGATCATCTACAGTCCCTGGATTTGGTTATATTTTCCAGTTATGTTTCCCTGTTTTCGTCTCTCTTTATGTGTTTCTATCAGTGTTCCTCTCCGTGACCAGAAGGTGGTGTTCTAGCTCCATATTTTCTGAATAAGTGACTTTATATGGTCTAAAACGAATCATAACTGAGGTTGCTGGTCGGAATAACAGTCAGCGAAACCAGAGGTGGTGCCAAGACTCCATGACCTAGTTAATAACTGATAGAGTAGTGGTGCAATAACATAAACCTGCGTGTGTGCGTATGTGTCAGATTGAACAGATGTTGTGCGACAACAGAGTCTCCGGTGTTGGACCACATACAGTACCAGGCTGCACACGCACACTTTAAAATTAGAAAGCACCAACGCAGATGACCTATGAAGTCTTAACCCTTGACCCCAAGGTTGCAAAACCAAAGTCCTCACCTCCTCTTGGCCCCTTGCTTCTTTCTCTGTCTCCTTGCTAGTGCTGTGAACTTTGCCCTGCCCAGTGGCTTTGTGTAAGCAGACAGCATGGGTTTGGCCACAGGACTGTAACTGACAACTGGGATGTGTCAGC